AGAACATAAGTATATAAGGAAAAACTTTACATTATAGATTAGTCACTTTCTTCCTTTTCCTGTCACTTTTCATTGTCATATCCCTTCCTCTCTTTTTTTTTTCTTTTCTTTTCCTCTAAATCATTGTGATTATCCATACTTCAAAGTAAAAGTAGCTTAATCGAAACAAAATAGTATCTTTAGTAAACTTCAAGAAAAACTGCAGCTTTCATATGTTTGGAGAAATGAATTTTCTGTGACCCTCCAAGTTGCATAAATTAACCACTCACAATACAGTACATACTTAGTTGCTCAGCTGATACATGACCACTCATAATTGAAATTCCTCCCAACACCACTGCAATAATCTGTAGATGTGATTTGACAAAGCGGAGTCAAATAATAGATTTTCATTTAAATGTAATAACTTGAGACATTTTCCTTTCTCACTTCAGAAAACCAACAACTTAAGCCCAATACCTTATGATAGTTAACTAAAAAAGAGCCAAACCTGCGTTGAACGATAAAGAGTACTGAAACTCACACACCAGAATCCATAAGCCACACTCTCTCGAATGTTTACAAAAGCAACTTTGACTAGCCATTGCTTGAACCTAATATCACATAGGATGCATGCTTTAGGTGTCAGAATTCTCAGATTTTCTCGTGCTATGTTTATTAAAAAGACGGCAGTAAAAAGAAAATGCCTAACAGGAAATTAATAGTAAAATATACACCTTCCAAATTCTTTTCTTTCAGTTCCATAAACCCGGACAGTTCTCATCAAGGAAAATGTTTCTTGCGCAGCCTACATTCAAATAGGAAAGTGATCAACCAAAGAAGATTAACATAAATTTTGGAGCATTTTGGATCTATAGTCTGTCTATACTTCATTGGCACCAGCAGTGAAGTCTTGGACTAACTTTGCAGCTTTCTTTTGGTACCTATATATTGTTATAAAATATAAAATAATCAAATATATCACTTCTTCATTTATTGTTATAGCAGAACTTTGCGGTATAAATAACCTCAAGCTTCGAAAAATCGAAATCAGATATAAAGTAGAAAGAAGGTAAAGAAGCTTACTATCCATAAAGAAGAAAAATCATAGATAACACACAGCAGATAAACAATGTTGATAATGCGAGAGGCCGAGATAATATCAGCAAATTGATCAGTGCACCTATCCCCTGAATATAGAAAAACTGTAACTTAGACTAGACTATTAAAAAAATCAAATGCACATTTGGGGGAGGGGAAGGGTAAGAACCACAACCTGAAGAACATTGCGTAAGATCAAACTAATATCATTCGCAATAACAAGAGATAATCGTTGACAATCTGCCCCAAGTCTGCTTGTCAAATCACCAACTGCTTCTCTGTCGAAAAAGGATATATCCTACATCAAAGATTACACCAAAATAGAGTACAGAATTGAATAAAATCGGAGATCAAGCAAGTCAACATTGCTTTAAATAAATTTGTTGACAATTGGCACACCCAATTGTTGCAATTACTAAATGAAACACAAACTTGGAAAAGAAGAACTGAGTAAAGAGTTTCCCTGAGATGCTTCATCTGCATTATGATGTTTCGAGCAGCAGATGGTGTATAAAGAAATTAGATAACAATCCCGAAAATAAAAAAAATAGATAAAACCATGCTTTCAAACAGAGAAAGCACAAATGCACAAATCTTCTGGGCACAAACTTTCAACAAAGTCACAATCTTTTGGGCACAAAACAAATCAAAACAAATCCTAACCAATTTCAAAGCAACCTCTAAACCCTAAAACCCTAAACCAATTTGGAAGAAACCCCTAAACCAATTTCATACAAATCTATACACTATAAACTAAATTCACAAAAACCCCAAATTTCTAAGGGATGGATTTCGCGAGAGTGGGAGAAACAGAGTGGTGGTGGTCATGGAGCGACGGTGGAGAGATAAAACGCTGAGAGAGGAAGAGAGAACGCAGACAGCCACTGTTGAGGGAGAAAGATGATTGTCGTCGAAGAGAGAGAGGTACACGAGGGAGAGAGACGGTCGAAGAGATAGAGCGAGTTAGAGAGAGAGAGCAATTTCTGAAAAACTGATATGGGTACAATAAGGAGACAATAATTTTATATTTATAGGTTGTAGTTGTACAAAAATTAGGAAGGGATGGTATTTTTAGTTAAAATTAGTAAATGGGTGGCATTGGAGGTCATTTCCCTTTGTTTTTTGCATCCTATACTAATTTTAAACATTAATAACCTATTTTATTTTTGTACATAATTATTGTTAAGGATAAAAAATATTTAAATAAAAATTAAATTTGCTCACTACACCCCACATATGTTCCTGCAACCCTAGTTAGACTTTTTTTTTAAATCAAACCATCATATTCTTACAACCCTAACGAGGTTTGTACGCTTATATTAGTGAAAAAATATCTTGTATTTATTCATGAAGGGTGAGCCTAAAGTTAGAGAGGCTTTGAATGAGGTATGAGTTTATTTTTTGGCGTTTTTGAAGTTTAAGATTTCATGATGGTCGCTAGTTGCGTTCTTTACACCAGTACCGAACGCGATAGGCAAATTCTTGGGATCCCACTGAAACGTTGCACTTATTTCGGTTGTGTTTGACCGGCCATTAACTTAAGATGCGGTGGAGATCCATCATAACATAGAACGGTATTCGGTGGTGTATTACCGAATTTTTACCTACAATTCAGCGGGAACGAACCAAAATATATTTATTTTTTCAGTAACTTATTGTCGACTACAAATTTAATGCAAGCTATTTTGACCTTACTCCTATTGAATGAACAAAAACAAGGTGACACCCCTACTGAAAGAAACAATGTTAGAACATAATGTGTAATGGATTTGCACCATTCTTTTGTTGGATGACCATGCCTGATATAGGGCATATTATCACCACATGTTATAATGTGGTTTTAATTCTTCTAAGCATGCGTTAATGTCTTACATTTTTTCTATTCTCAGTTCAATCAAGTGAAACCAAGCTACATGAGATTGCCATTGGTTTTGTTGATGATGATCACTATGTCCAGGTATGAATTCATTTGTTTACTCTACATAGTGTAATTTTATATGCTATGCGTATATTAATGAATTCTTGTTTTGTAGGTTCATTTGTCTCCAGATCATCCTATTCCACCAGTTTCTAGAATGTGGCATGAACAAAGTGATATATGCAATGTAACACAATTGTACTCAAGGTATCAAGAGCGTGTGGATGCGTTTCAACAACTTTTGGGAGTGGAGAATGTAACTACTACAGATACAGTCATCCTAATGACTGACGAAAATGTGCCCACTATAGAATTGAGATTATAAATATAATAATTCTATTTATTTTCTTATATATATATATTTTTTTGGTGGGACAAACTTCATAAGGATTTGAATGAGTTCTAAAGTTCCAAAGTTCCCTGAGTTCTAATACAAACATGCAATAACTAATCAAAACAACAAAAGTTATATGAGTTCTAATAGAGGCATGCTAGCAAGTCAGTTAGCCATGACGACGTTGATATGTCATGGTAGACCGTATGTTTGTACCCTCTAAAATCTGCTGCAAGGTCTTAATTGCTTGATAAACTTAGGAAGGTCTTGTACACAATGCAACTGTTTCCCCTAATGCCACGTGCGAAACCCTGTATTTATAAAATTATATAGGTTGAAGATTTAATATTTTGTCATTTAATTTATATTATATATATATGTTGTTATATTCATTATATATATGTGTGCAACTTTCACTATTAGTTTATATATATATATATATATATATATATATATATATATAAAAAAACATATATTTTATGTGTGTGTGTGTGCGCTATATATATACATAAGAACCCATATTATTTGCATGGTAGTGTGCACGTTGAGTGATAGATTTGAATAAATCTATCTTATCATGAATTTTATTTTATTGAAACCTTAGGAAGTAAGTCTTAAAGGATATTTGGTAAGAAGCATGAGGTGGACTCATTAGCATGAGGTGTTGGATCAAGAGTTTGATAGCTAGAGTTGGTGCTACCATTCTTGCTAGGTGGCGGGACATTGCAAGATTAAAGATAACTTCAAAGTTGTTGTTATCCTATATTGTTGCCGCTAAGAGTATTAACCAATGATAGAAGGATAGTTGCCGACTTTATTCTAGTATAAATAGGAAGCTTACAAGTTGTTTTACTACTACTTCCAAATATAACAAACATGTAACGTGAGAGAGAGAGAGAGAGAGAGAGAGAGAGAGAGAGAGAGAGAGAGAGAGAGAGAGAGAGAGAGAGAGAGAGGGGGAGAAATAATATTGGCATAATTATATCATGTCATAGTAATTGGTTGGAGTTGTTGGGTTGAGAAAATAAGGATGGAAAAGAGGGTAATGGGAATGATCTTTTGTGTAGTTGAGTCTAACCATTGTAGAGACCAAGTCTAGGCGAGCCCGTGTGCACAGTAGATTAGGAAATCGGTGGTATAATTGTCGATTGGGTGATTTGGGCTTGGAGATCAATGGTGTAGACAAGATGACTAGCAAAAGGGGAATTACGGGATGATTGAGATGGGTGTTAGTTCATATAAATGGGCATTTGGGACCAAGTGGTATAAGCATGGTATGAGACGTGCTGATCTGCTTGTCCAGTTATATGAATTAACGGGAATAGATGAAGAACATTCATGCATTATTATTAATAATGTGATATTTGGTTGCATGATTGCATGTCACTTAATTTAGTTATTTCAATCTACTGTGGTAAGGTCCCATGTCCCTACTGAGCTGTGGTTGCTCATCCCTCACCCTGTTTAACTTTTCAGATGAATTAGTGGGCAAGACGAGGACTAAATCGATTGAGGCTGAATTAGATGAGAGTAGTAGGGTTTTATTTATTTCCTGTAAAGTTGTAAGCTATTTTTATAAGAGAAGTTTAATTTTAAACCCATCTTTCGGCTTTCTTTTTATTTTATTTACTCACGCGCCGGGCGCGAGATTTCCACCTACCTCCGGGTCCGGGGCGTGACACCACGAGCGGCCTAGTAAAGGACAACATACGCTCGTCATGCTCTTGTAATGAATTTGAATTTAATGCCTTAGTAAAAAGGACAAAATTGAAAAAGTGGAAGTCATAACAAATTTATAATTTTACCTCTGTGAGTCCTCTTCATATCTAAAAAACAATATTAAGTACAAACTCAGTAACAAATTCGATAGATGATCATTGAAACAAGAAACGAATTCAGTAGACTACCACTGAAAAACGGAAACAAATTTGATGTACTACCACTGAGAAACTGAAACAGATTTAGTGAACTACTACTGAAAAACGAAACATATTCAATGGATAACCACTGTAAAACAGAAACAAATTCGGTGGACTCCCACTGAAACAAGGTAAGTTAATAAATAGGGTCCATGAGGGTAATTTAAGAAGAAAAATGGGGTGTAGTGAGTAATTTTAAATTTTACTAAGATTCAGTGGGATATAAAGAAAATGTGGGGTGCAAAGAGCAAATTTTATCTGTTTTATTTATTTATTATTTTTATTTTTTAAATGAAAGATTTGGCTCCCCATGGATCTTCCTGTAACCATTAACCAACATGATTATGATATAATTATTTGATTGCTTTTTGACAACTTGAATTTTAATCTAGATAGACATTATTCCACATTTTCCTAAATTGGGCGAGTGCACCCCATTATCCCACACCATAAAAAGTAAACTATCTGCAGTGGAAGAGCAACTGAGAAAAGGCAAAGTTCCAAATTCCAATCATTAAAGTTCATATTTATACTACAATAAGAGACATTTATCTTGGAAGCCTAAGAAGCAATTACAAGAACTGATCAATCTAGATAGACACAAACCTGTTGATTAAAATACCAAATATCTAGAGTTGATTGATCACTATACTATTTTGGATGGAAATCTAACTGTTATTATCTTCACTTTTTTTTATGGTTTCTGGTGTGAGACTAGAGTGTGAAATTGAGGGAGTGGAAGCTGAAATTGGGTTTCTGCTTCTTAGCTCCACATTTTTTCTGGCAAATTGATGCCCCACTGATTCTTTCATAGTCTCAGGTCCATAGACCAACACTCCAATATCAGATCCACCTGTCTCATCTGGAAACTTTGCAAAGATATCCGCTGAATTCAATAAATGTTAGAAACATATCCTATAGTCTTGTATGCCAGAACAAGGAATTTTTAAAGGTTTGGAACATGGAAAAGATTTCATGGATAAAAAAAGAATCCAAGTACCTTCAAAGTTAGGCCTGCCTCCAAAATGGATTTCATGTTCCTCAAGAGCATCACTTGCTTGTGTTGACCCTTTTTCTAAAGCTTTGCTTTGTTTTTGGAGGGTAGGAAGAATCTGTTTCTTTAGCCTTCTCCATCTTATAACAAGGGCTACAAAGATGCTGCAAATTAATGCCA